GAAAAGAAAGAAAGAAAGAAACCAAGCGCCCTTGTCCTGCTCAGCCTCCGGCGGCTGCGCCTCTTCTCCATCGCTCACGACCCGACCAGACGAGACAGCAGCGACGCAGCGAGACAGCAAGACACCAGCTGCAACTCTGGCCTGTTCTCTACAGTTGTGACAACCCCGGCGAGCTCCCGATAGTCCTCTCGTCCGTTCCTGTTGCTCTGCGGGCAGCTGGTTGATGCTACCCCTCGAGGTGAAGCCGGCAGTCACCAAACCGCGGGTCTGTCCTGTGTGTGTGTGAGCAAAGATGGGCTCCAACTTGCCAGCGTAAGTGACGGGCAGCCGGCCCTGCCGCCCCCTTCCCGCGAGCCCCTACCTGTTGCTGTTTCGATTCCGAGTGAACAAAGGGCTGACTCTCGTTTCTTGCAGGCAACCGAACCTGAGAGTCACCAGTAAGAGAGATGCCTGCCCCGCGATACGTTGGCTGCTGCTAATACAGACCCTCCGGCCCCTGCAGTTATCGCCGCTGATGGACTATACAAACGAGATGTCTTTCGTGAGTTCGGACCCTGTCTCTGCTGTCTTGGTACAGACCTAACAGGTTGCTGCGTGTGTAGGCTTCCCCGATCCGTTCGCGGTTGCTACCGTCGGTGGTGAACAGACTCATACCACCTCCGTCATCAAGAAGACCCTGAACCCATACTGGAATGAGATGTTTGACCTGTAAGGGGGATCCTGTCTTTTCATACCTCTGGCGCCCCTTCACTCGGCCGGATTGGATGCTGACGCAATGCGCAGGAGAGTCACCGAGGACAGCATACTCGCCATACAAATATTTGACCAGAAAAAGTTCAAGAAGAAGAACCAGGGGTTTCTGGGAGTGATCAATATCCGTATCGGCGATGTTATTGATCTGGCTATCGGTGATGATGGTATTTCTACTCTTTTATTATTTCCCTTTTTACCTTTGCCCCTGTCTTTTGGTACCGTTTGATAGTGAAGAGAGCTTAACCTAGCTGACATCTTTGCCCTAGAAATGCTTACCAGAGATCTCAAAAAGTCAAACGATAATCTTGTTGTTCATGGCAAACTCATTCTCAACCTCTCTACAAATCTATCTACGCCGGTTCCCACATCGCAAACCGGGGCTTCACGCCCTATCAACAATCGCACCTCAACATCACCTGTTCCCGCCGCTCAGACGACTACCACCTCCTCAGTTTCAACACCTCTGACTGGACCGCGCCCAACTTCCACAGCTCAGGAGCCGTTGGTCAATAACTCCAGCTCTCACTTGGTCCCTACACATCCTTCTTCTTCCGCATCCACAGCCGTGGCCCCGCTTACTACCTCACCTCAACAACCCACTGCTCCAGCTCGACCAAATGTAGGCAGTACCTTTGAAGACAGCCAGGGCAGGCTGCCCACCGGCTGGGAACGGCGAGAGGATAACCTGGGGCGAACTTATTACGTAGACCACAATACCCGTACCACCACTTGGAACCGGCCAGCGCAAAACTACAATGAGCAGACGCAGCGGACTCAAATGGAGGCCAATATGCAGATGGAGCGCCGGGCCCATCGGAGCCGAATGCTGCCAGAGGATCGAACAGGTGCAAACTCGCCTGATTCCCAGCAGCAGGCCCGGACGCCACCTACAGCTCCAACAGCGAACGCAGTAGCAATGATGGCCAGCAATACCACTACCCCTGGTACGGGAGAGCTTCCTTCAGGCTGGGAACAGCGATATACCCCTGAAGGCCGCCCATATTATGTTGACCATAATACTCGAACCACAACCTGGGTGGATCCCCGCCAGCAGCAGTTGGTCCAGATGTATGGCCCCGATAACGGGAACCATCTTGCATCCCAAACAGTAAACCATCTGGGCGCACTGCCGAGTGGCTGGGAGATGCGGTTAACAAACACTGCCCGTGTGTACTTTGTGGACCACAACACTAAGACAACTACCTGGGATGATCCCCGGTTACCATCTTCCCTCGACCAGGGTGTGCCACAGTATAAGCGTGACTTCCGGCGCAAATTGATATATTTCAGATCCCAACCTGGTCTAAGGATAATGTCTGGCCAATGCCATGTCAAAGTTCGACGTGGTGCCATTTTCGAGGATTCTTTTGCAGAAATAATGAGACAAAGTCCCGCAGACCTAAAGAAGCGTTTGATGATCAAATTTGATGGAGAAGATGGATTAGATTATGGTGGTCTTTCAAGGTATGCACTATCTTATCCCTCTATCCCCTTTTTAATCCAAAATATTGCAACCTGCTAACACCGTGTAGAGAATTTTTCTTCCTTCTTTCGCACGAAATGTTCAATCCGTTCTATTGCTTATTTGAATACTCCGCTCATGATAATTATACCCTCCAGATAAACCCGCACTCGGGCATCAACCCTGAGCATTTGAACTATTTCAAGTTCATTGGCCGCGTGGTTGGCCTGGCCATCTTCCACCGCCGGTTCCTTGACTCTTTCTTCATCGGTGCTTTTTACAAGATGATGCTACGAAAGAAAGTTACCCTACAGGATATGGAAGGTGTTGATGAAGATTTCCATCGCAATTTGACGTGGACCCTGTAAGAATGAATACATTACTCTCTTTGGACCGGTGGCAACGCTGACTGACACTTACTTGCTAGTAATAACGATATCGATGGTATAATTGAACTTACGTTTTCGATTGATGATGAGCAATTTGGCGAGCGCAGGACAATAGATTTGATCCCCGATGGAAGAAATATCCCTGTTACAAATGAGAATAAGAAACAATATGTGGAGTATGTTCCGTGTCACTCCTCATTGAATTCTAACTATCAGATGCTAACCGTCTCCTCAGGCTAGTGACGGAGTGGAAGATTCAGAAGCGAGTAGAAGAGCAGTTCAACGCATTCATCACCGGATTCAACGAACTTATACCTGCCGAACTCGTCAACGTCTTTGATGAGCGAGAACTTGAGCTTCTTATCGGCGGTATTGCTGACATCCATATCGATGACTGGAAGAAACACACCGACTACCGTGGCTACCAGGAGGACGACGAGGTTATCCAGAACTTCTGGAAGGTAATAAGAAGTTGGGATGCCGAGCAGAAGTCTCGATTACTCCAGTTCGCCACTGGTACATCACGTATCCCCGTCAATGGATTTAAGGATCTTCAGGGCAGTGACGGGCCTAGGAGATTTACGATCGAGAAGTCAGGAGACATCAATGCTCTGCCCAAATCACATACCTGGTACGTCTATTTCTTGTTTCCATATACCAGCTCCACGTTCTTCACTAACAGAAATAGTTTCAACCGACTCGATCTACCCCCTTATAAGACATATGAAGCTTTACAGAACAAACTTACCATTGCCGTGGAAGAGACACTCGGTTTCGGCCAGGAGTAAATCTGTTTTTCTCTCTATTCTTATAATAGCGCTCAAATTCCCTTCAGATGTGGTCGGTGTTAAAGCTCAGGGGCCGAGGAGACCCCTACCCCCGTTACCCCCTAACTCCCCCGGTGTACTATTAGTATATAGGAAAGCCAATAATTCCACCTTAGACCACGCCCTTTAGCGCCTTTTATTTTATTTCCTTGGTGTTTACTTTCTTTACGTTATTGAAGGTTGGTTTTCTATTTAGCAGTACTTAAAGAAAGTTGTTGGTTGATACGTGCTCTAAGCCTTACAACAGGAGCATTTCCAATCTCAAATAGATAAAGAATAGCTACTCTAGCCAAAGCTGTTAGATTAGGCTTCCTTTCTCTTTCGTTTTCGAGTCCTCCTGCCTTGTTCTTCTTCAGGTTCACCGTTAACATCTTCGGACAACGGCTTTGGATCTGATGTTGGCTTCGACGTTTCTTTTAAGCTATCTCCAACGGTAGGCTCTATATGCCCTATCACAAACGCAATCTTCTCTATATCCTGCACGGAAAACGTCTGCTTTGTCTCACTTTCCTCCGAGAGTTGCTGGATCCGTCGTCTTAGCTTGGTGAAGGCATCCCATAAATCCTGGTATTCTTTGACATTGTATTTCAGTTTTGGTAACTTGTGCCTGGGAACTTGTTTATCCCGTGAATACAAATCCATGCAAAGCCAGTAGTACAGCTCGTCACTAAAAAATGGAGTTGACGTCTCCGGGGCAAGGGATAGAATCAACGAAGCTGTGGCTGGTCCAACTCCACGGAAGCTTTTGCACAGTAGTTGCACGGCCGCTTCAGGAAAGACACCTGCCCGAGAATCTTCTGCTAGACTTGAGAATGCCTCCTTGCTGACTGACTCTACCTGTGCTTCTGCATTTGAGCGTATCAAGCCCATGAGAGCAGGTCGAAAAGAGCCATGTTTGCTACACAACATATTAGAACACGATAACTAGCCAACATTGAGATACGGCCAACGTACAGCTTCCAGTCCATCAACTGAACCATCTCGTCCTTGTTAATGAAGCCATGAGCAGGCATCTCCTTTCCCTTCTTCTTCTCCTTCTTCTGGTCCCCGTTGTCCCCTGCGCGTTCGCGCAGAGTGACTGGCAGAGTCGCATACCGCCAGCTGTCTAGCTCGACGAACTGCTTCACCCGGCCCTCGATCTCTTCTTCCTTTTCCCTGGATATCAAGGCCTTGCTGGCCGGTTTCGCTGCCTTCCCTGCCTTTGCAGTCAGCTTGTCACGGTATACCCGGGCGAGCGTGCCATCGTAGCCGGACAGCAACTCGGACAGTGCCGATAGCGGTATCTCCCCGGCGGACAGCGACGTCATTGTTCGGTCTTCGCGGTCATCTCCTCATCTCTGCTGTTGTGTTACTGTTGTGTTAGTTGCTCAGTGATCAATCATTATCAGCCGAGATTAGATAGTCGATGGTCGACGGCGATAGATTGATAACGGCCGCGTCCGAAAAGGGGAACCTCAACGTCCGGCATCAAAAACTGCTTAACCACCGCCGCGAAACGGACGTCTACAGCATCTATATCACTGCGCAGCCACATATACCTCTACGGAACCCAGCTATAGCCTCCCTGCAGCCACCGGCCGGTCCACGCTGGCTGCTCTTCTTCGCGCCACTCGGCTGTTCCCCGCGGCGGGCGGAGTCAGCGTCCTGGCGCCCTCACGGGCAAAGCCGCGGTTGAGCCTGATCTCCAGGCACATCGACCAGAGGCTTCCCTTGCCAGCGCTCAACACACCATTCTCGACCGAGAGGAACGTCTCTGTCGAGCCTGACGAGGTTGAATATAAACCGATCCTGCGCACGCTGCCTGATCTGTCTGCAAGCAAAGCCAGAGACGCCGCCGCCATGTCTGCTCAAGCACAACATCCCACGGTCCTCATTCCAGGGCCCATTGAATTCGACGATGCCGTCCTTCAGTCCATGTCGACCTACGGGTGTGTATTCTTGTCTCTATTCTGTGTTTATGAAGATGAATACGGTGTTGTTTGATGGATTTTTGAGTATTCTTGCTAATAAATTTACTACAGGGAGAGCCATGTTGGACCGGCATTTGTGAAGATATTCGGCGAGACGCTGACGATGTTGAGACAGCTCTTCCAGACAAAGGCCACTGCATCACAGCCGTTCGTGCTTGCTGGCTCAGGAACGCTGGGTTGGGACTTCGTTGCGTCCAACTTGATCGAGCGTGGTGAAAACGCCCTAGTGCTGCATACCGGCTATTTCGGTGACTCACTCTCGGAATGTCTGCAGACGTACGGCGCAAACGCAACACAGATCAAGGCACCGATTGGGGACCGACCGTCTTTGGATGAGATTTCCAAGGCTCTTCAGGAGAAGGAATACAAGATCCTGACTGTCACACATGTCGATACCTCTACGGGTGTGTTGAGTGATATCAAGGCCATTACGGAAGTTGTCCGAAAAGTCAGCCCCAACACGCTTGTTGTTGTCGATGGTGTGTGTTCGGTGGGGTGCGAGGAGATTGCCTTTGACGAGTGGGATTTGGATGTAGTGCTCACAGCCGGCCAGAAGGCCATTGGGTGCCCCCCAGGCCTGAGCATCTTGATGCTCTCTGGCCGTGCTATGGACCGAGCAAAGAACAGAACCTCTCCTCCAGCAAGCTACTATGCTTCGATCAAGAACTGGCTGCCTATTATGCAGAACTACGAGGCTGGCAAGCCATCATACTTCGCTACTCCTGCTACTCAGCTGGTTCGTGCGCTGCATACGGCTCTTACGCAAATCACTTCCAAGCCTCTTGCAGAAAGATTTGCTGTTCACAAGGAAGCCTCTCAGCGAGTAAAGAAGGCTGTTTCTGACATGGGGCTGCAGCAGCTGGCTACCAAGCAGGAGAACCAGGCCAATGCCATGACAGCCATTCGTCTTCCTGAGGGCCTGGCTCCACCTGACGTTCTTCCGAAGCTTTTCCAGAAGGGTCTCGTGTTTGCCGGTGGTCTGCATAAGGAGATTGCTTCCAAGTACATTCGATTCGGCCACATGGGAGTCAGCGTCACTGATCCTAAGCGGGACGACATTGACAGAGCCATTGCTGCTCTCAAGGAGGTCTTTGCCGAGGTCAAGAAATGATCAATTACTTGTATGCTAAAACGCTAAAATGTAAATTGATTGATTGATTGATGATCATTTAGATATCTATTGGCTCCATATTTATCTGTTGCGATGTAAGGACGAGTAATGATATTAGTAGAATCTAGTGATATTACAGCTGTACAGATCCCATCTGGCCTGGCAGGTAAGTATAGACTTCAGAATTAAAACAGCTCGGAACATGGAGTAACAAGTAAGGTAGGATACAGATGGAGAAGCAGAAGAAGGCGGAGGAGACGAAGAAGGAAATAAGAAGAAAAGCGCCGTGCCCAATGCCACTCACTAGAGGAGTCGTTCTATCAGGAAACGAGATGAGATGAGGCAAGGAGAAAATAGGAAACATGTCAATACTCAAGCATTACCCGGACAACTTACACGCCATACATCGGGGATTGGGAGGGGGAGTGGTTCGTTACAGAGGAAGCAGGGTTCATCTAGCTTCCGACTTCACCTCGTCGAAGGGCCAGAAGCGCCCGGACGTCAGTTACATGCTGCATTGCCTCTAGAATGGGGATGAGGTGAAGGAGGTCGTTGTCTGTAGGATCGTTGATCCAGCCTTCGATAGGAATTGCATTATCTATTCATGTTTAGCATTGAATCAATGTATCAACATACGAGACTTGGTAGAGGTACCTTCGTGAAATATATAACTCATTGGACTGTTATCCAAGATCATAACTTTACTTAGATCTGGCTCAACGGAGCTGAGATCCTTGATATAAGCGCCATTGCGTATCGTGCAGTGCTGCCGGTAGTATCTGCTATGGAAGTACTTGCGTTCCTGTTCCAGCCAGTCGATGACCGGATCTGCGTATTCCTGCACGCTGGCCGTGAAGATGACTAGCTTATACCACTGGCAGACTTTGCGTAGGAAAGCGTCGCAATGAGGACGCTTGTGGACGTAGTAGAGGATAGGATGCTGGGGGCCTAGGATCGTAGGTGCCGCTCCCGGAGCGGCCGCAGAGGCCATGGGCATGGAGAGCTTGACTTCGACCATGTGTCCGCTTGACATGCGGCCGCCCTTGGAGAGGGAGTGTATGAGGGTTTCGTCGAGATCGAGGATAAGCGTCTTCTGGGGCGTACGAGGAGGGGGTGCACCAAATATATAGGAAGGCTGTCGACGGGGGACCAACGGTCTGGGAGGCGTAGGCGCATGAGGGTATCTTGTAAGCTTGCGGGCTGCCTGGGAGACGGGTGACTTCAAACTGTCTGCCACCGGGTCCATATTGCCATTGCCAGTCGCATTGGTGGTGTTGCTGCTGCCGTCACTACGACGGGAAGCCCTAGCCTTGGAGTGTCTCTGTTCCCGGTTCTGCTTGCTCTCGTTCTGTATCTTTATTCTGATTGAGCGCCGGGGAGTCCCTTCATCATTGTCTGTCGTGGCCAGGCTGGATTTCCGCCGTGAATGCCGGCTGCGCATGCCAGGCTCGCCCAGGGCCCGGTCAGTCTCTGATTCTGAGGTATTGGAGTACAACGACTCGGAAGATAGAGAGTCCCGCAGCCTCGGAGAGCCTCTGGATGGTCTCTTCGGGCCCCTGTCCGGTCTGCTGCCAGAGTCTGCGCCGTCTCTTCTACTTCGGCGAGTGCTGCCGGTGGTGGAGGAGGTGGTGGTGCTATTGGCCTGTCGTAGAGACCGTAACGGCTCCACGAGCGAAAACTGGCCGTCCCTAGAGTAGAACCGGCGCCCCAGATAGACGGCGGGCGAGGCAAAGATCGAGAGAATCGTCTTGAGCGTCTCGAGCAGGGCGCCGAAGAACCGTTGAGTTATGGGCAGCATCACCATGCCGGCCGTTGTGGGTGCTGCTGAGTCCTGCGCCAGAGCTTGCTTCTGGTCGGCGTCTTCGACCGTCAGCAGCGACAGCACCTCGCCGCGGGCCTCAAGCTCGTCCTCGTCGTCTCCAGGGGCGCCATCGGTCTGTATCGAGTGCTGGTGTATGTTAATGTTGCCGTCGCTGTAGGATCTGCTGCTGGCGGCCAGGCCTCCTCGCGGGTTGAGGACATGGCCCTGCGAGTGGGATCGGGCCCGCGACGAATTGCTCGCAGAAGTCTGGCCGATGACTCGCGACGAGAGGATGTTCAGGGAGTTCATCTTCCGCCCTGAGCCATGCGGTGGGCTGGTGGGCGTGGGTGGACTGACTTGGGGAAGTGGTTGAGTGAGGGTTTGCGCAGAGACGAGGCGCAAAGACAAAGCAAATCGGCGGACCAGATAACTAACTTAGAGAACTGCCTTAACTATACGGAGCTGCTACGCCAGTGAATGGAGAGCGCCAGCGCAGGCCGGCTAGAGATGGACGGAGCTGAAGCCGAAGCTGCAGAAGACGTAGGCGCAGATGTAGACGTGAAGGAGAGGGGCTTGCATGGCTCTAGTTAGCTGGTGGTTTTGGCTGTTGGCTGTCCAGCTGCGCTCAACGGGCTGGCTGGCGTGATTGGGGGGGGGGAAGATTTTGATATCGGGCCGGCGCGGGCAGATGCTGGCTTCTACGCGGGTACAGCGGATAGCTGGGCTTCTACACTAGTTACGGGCGGCTGTCTGTCTACATACTGGCTCGATGCTGGCAAGGCTGGTGGACTGATGGTCATTCGGACCGCCTGGCTGCTGGTCCTGATGGATATACCTGCACTATTATTGGCTGGCATTCGAGTGCAGGGCGTTGTCCCTTGTAAGAAAACCCGGACGAGGGGCATCTCAGGCCGAGAACCGGGTGCTGGAGACCCTGTGCAGTGTAGCTGGCTATCGACGTGCTGGCTGGCCATATCCCCTGTGGATGGCGGTTTGGTAGAGCTTCCATAGATGTAGATGCAATTGAATATAATCATCCTCGCCACCACAACTATTCATGCCATTGGATTCGTAACGTCGTAACATGCGTAAAGCATTCTTAAGGGGCCATTCCTCCTTCAAATAGTAAGATAGTTACAGCTCCCGGCTCAGAGATGGACGCCTTCAGATGTGTCGTCCACGCCGTTCAGATCCGGCTCCATGCCAGGCTGAGAGCTTGCTGACGGGCCATCATTCTGCTGATTACTGCTAGACGGCTGACTACTCGCAGTTCCATTCGCCCCTTGTCCGTCTTCAGGCTCATCAGCTTCACGTTCAGCTTGTTCCTCCGGCCACTGCTCGCCGCGTCTCTCCAACTCGAGCTTGACGAGACCAATTCGCTCGCGCATCCGTCGGATCACCTCCTCGTTTTCTGTGATGGCATCCTCGCACTCCTTGTCTCCGCCGTCTGTCTGCTCTATAAATGTCTTCAGCTCGCCGTTGGAGCGTTCAAGATGCGCTGTCGAGTTCTCGAGCTCTGCGATCTTCGCATAGACAGACGATAGCGGCAGGTCTTTAAGCGCTTCTGCAAACGCGCCGGGATCAATCGGCCGTGACTCCGCAGACATCTTGTCGTCTTTTTTATCTCTTATTCTCTGTATTATTCGTTTCGCTTTCGCTTTCGCTTCTTCTTCTTCTTCGTTGTCTTTTTTTTGTTGTTTTAAAACGATTTAATAAAGTCGAAGATCTTATCTCTCACGTGACTCAATCTGATAAGATGCCTTCGTCTTCCTATCAAAAAGATGAAAAAGACGAAAAGAAGCAAGAAAGGACAAAGAAACGATTAAAGACCAGAGATTCAGCAGTTCAGACAAAAGATTAACTCTCCATAGTGTGGTTGAAGAGATAGTCAGGGAGGTATGTTGCTATATCGACCCCCAATTGACATAGAAACCTGGCTAACTCAACCAAAGACGGCTGCCGTCACAACGACAGAGAGATGAACAATGCTGCCACGATAGCATGGCGGACTCCATGCCGATGGATTCATGCTTATTCCCGACCTGCCTCGACCAGATCCTCCCTTCTGGACCAGCTACGCCTCATATACCCCTCGTCAATAAAGCCGCGAAGCGCAATACGATGTTTATCCAGCACTACTCCAACCTCACGCAACGCCAGCCAGCGGGCTCCCAGCTCTCAAACTCGTGGAAACACAGCTGCTTTCCCTGAAAGAGACCTGCCAGCACCACAGATTGCCCAGATATTTGGCACTGCTACCCTACCCGCGAGACTGGGTAACCAGATCCTCCGAGCGTTACAGGACCAGCGAGTATCAGGCACACTTGATCTGCCGCTACCAGACGAGATCACCCGTGCTGCCCCCCCGCACATCATCGATGCTGGCCTAGCGTGGCTGCGGAGCAAGCACCCCATGGACGAAGACGCAGCTATCTTGGCGAGGATCGAACGAGAGGAGCAGGAGGAGGAAGAGCAGCTGATACGCCGGGCAGAGGAACTGGGACTGTATAAACCGCAGAGTGGGAAGTTTGGATCTAGCACCACCAAAGAAGGAGATGTGTATGGGAGCAGTGTCCTTGACGAAGTCCGGAAGAAGAATATAAAGGAAAGCAAGCGGACGGAAGAAAAGCAAAGACAAGACTGGCTCGATGGTGAAGCAAAACGGATAGAACAGCTTCAGGCTCAGGCTGAGAAACTCAAGGGTATACAGAAGTATGAGCCGCAGGAGCTTACAGAGGGTGAGTATCGTACGTTCTTTTTTTGGGGGGCTACGTAGCCATGTTAACAGCCATCCAGCACGCCCACGAGCAGATCCCGAACAACGGCCTGCACTGGCTTGGATCCAACAGCAGCATGTCAAAGCAACTTCAACAACCGATGCCTCAAAACTTACAACTGTTAGTATCCATGTATAATTCTGTACACGAGCCAAGCTAACTTCATCTAGGCCGGCCGTCTCTTACCGTCCCTTGCAGTCGTTGCTCTAACCCTTGGGCTCTGCTACGTCTTCTCTGAATCATACGAAGCTCCACTCCATAACCAGCGAATGTGGCCCGATATGCAGCCTGCAGCAGCTACGTTAACAGCCATAGTAGGCCTAAACGCAGGCGTATTCCTACTCTGGAAATTCCCTCCAGCCTGGAGATTGCTAAACAAGTATTTTATCAATGTTCCCTACTACCCGCACGCTGCCAGTGTGGTTGGAAGTGTCTTCAGTCATCAGCAACTTCGTCACCTTGGGTCAAATATGTTTATTCTATGGTTCGTCGGGAAGAAATGTAAGTAAGCCTAGTACTTTTCTGGGCTTATATCTAATCCGCTAACCTGGGTAGTACACGATGACATTGGCCGGGGAGATTTTGTAGCCGTTTATTTATCCGCCGGTGCCTTTGCGACATTCTCTTCTTTTGCCATCAGAGTATTGTCAAATACGCTGACCGTCTCATCATTGGGAGCAAGTGGTGCCATATCCGGCGTCGTTGCAATGTGGTGTATTCTTCACTCAAAGTAAGTCGATAGATTCTAACGCACCGGTGAAATAGCATCATTTTAATCTAACATTGGCGTAGTGAGAGACTCACGATTGCATTCATTCCGCGTGAATGGCAGGAGAAGATATCTGCTTCAGGATCGACATTCCTGTGTGCTATCATACTTGGAGAGCTACTGAATTTCATACCGGCCTTCCGCTTCTTTGCGGTGGACTTGTGGTCTCACCTAGCAGGATATGGTGCTGGCATAGTTCTTGGGTTATTGTGGAAGGAGAAGAAAGAACGTGAGCGAAGGAGAAATCCTCCGAGTTGGCTGAAGTCGTTTGGACTCTGATAAACATGTATATATATTTATGTGTAATATACTTCATTCAATGAAGCTGTTGTATTCTCTACCGATAAGTAGGGTGGAAAATAGTATCACTGATAGTACATACAGAAACAAGGTAAACATAACATAATAACAGCATGGACAGGGACTGATGATGATGATTAGACCAGCTGGTACCCGAAGGAGAAGCCGGATCGCTGCGTATGTGCAGGTCAATAGGGGAAATAAAACATAACACGTTACAGATAGGAATGGGAATTATGATAACACGGAGGTATTTCTCTTCTACCCGGAAAGCCGAACGTTAATAAACGAGTCGTATCGCTATTGTTCATGTCAAGGTTATGCCGGAGGAGCAGCCTGCACCAGGGGTGGCACTATAATCCAGTTAGCTGGGAAAACAAAAAGTGCAAAGTGAGATGGAATGACATACCACTAAAGCCGTATCCCTCAGTCTTACCCTCGATATCAGCAGGGTCAATTTCAACACGGATTGCAATGTCCAAGCCACCCAGTTTTCCTGTGACGTTGCTCACTCCGTCTGCAGAGCGGTATTCTGTGCCAGCATCTTGTTCTCCCGGGTGGAGAGCATCATGTCCATCCTTGGGAGCCTTTGCGAGCTCAGGTTGCTCATTAGACGTGGTGATTTCGGTGATACAAGCGTAGTTACGGGAAGGCATGGTCACTTTATTGGAGCTAGAAGACTTTTCTTTGCCTCCGGGCTGGTCGTTGAAGATCTTCATCAGAGTTTCGTCCGTGTGCGGATCGAGATGATGGATCTTGTTCCTGCTGGCGAGTAGGTTTGCCACGGCCTTGGGAGGAGGCTTATTAGTGATGGCACTGCTGATGACATTGATCATGTACTTGGGATCACTGTCGATAGGAACACGGTCCTTGACTCGGGAGTAGAAGCGGCCCACGGCTGCCAGGTGGACGTCGCCACCAAGGATGGTGACTCGGACTGAATAACGGGCAGCAAGTTGCTGGAGACGTTGGATCAACTGTCTTCTCTCCGCCTTGTGCTGCCTAGCAGTGTAGTGGTCGTCAAGGTCATCGAGTAGATCGACCTGGCCGTCAAACTTGTTGAAGAAGCTTCCTCCAAGGCCAAACCGCTTGTTCAGAAGGCGGATGGGGGATATCAGGGGAGAAGAGAGGATGTTTTCAAGCCAAGCAAGGCGAGGATACGCAATGGGGACACCAAGCAGGAGGATCAAATGCTTGATTTCTCCCTTGGCGGCAGTAAACTCCTTTTCTAGACGGGCGAAGATGGCATCGTAGGTCTCTGGGTAATTTACCTGATGTCTGGTACGCTCAGTGCGAGCATCGATTCCGGCAAAGGCAATACGCTTTCCAAGACGCATGTAGAGGTTTCTGCTGATCTCCTCGACATAGGGACCTGGTTTAGATCCTACTATCCAGCCAGGCTCGTCCTCGGGCTCCTTGTAGACGTAGCAGCCTTCCAGCTGGCGCTGGTCAATGCCCGAAGTCCCATCCTCACCGGCCTGCATGGTCTGGGGTGCATCAGTGGTGAAAGTCGACATGGGAGGAGCATTGTGGTGCTGGAACAGACAGTAGTACTTGAAGGCAACTCCTCCAAGGCCACGGAAGACAGCACATCTCATGAAATGGTCAGTATACGACCCAAAGCCATCAATGATATCATGGTCGTCCCAGATGTTGATCTGGGGGATCTGTGCATTGGCGGTAGCAAACGGTTCAGTTCCGTACCAGCGAACGTAGTTGTTAAAGTAGAAGACATCACACTCTGCTCTAAGGGTATTGGGGAATGGGTGTGCCCGTCTGCGGTGTGGGTTGGTGATGTTGGTCCACTCCTTCAGGGGGCCCTCAGTCCGGACAGAATCATTGTATATCTGGTCACCACCTCCGATCATGACGTGAAATGGCCGCTGAGCGTGCAGCCTAAGAATATCATGCCAGAGCAAGGGGCCCTGCCAGTGGCCCAGGTCGGTTCCCACGGAGAAGCCATTGCAGGAATGGAACATGATGCGCATCGAGTCATTGACAGCGGGCACTACGAAGTTCCAGGAGGACATGGTATGCTCCTGGTCCACATGCCGGAAGCCCGGGATAGTGTACTGCCAGCGCGCCTCATAGTCCTCCATGGCGACGGCGATGCGGAAGCGCCAGAAGGCCGCGATAGGGCTGGAGAAGAGCTTGACGCCCTCGACGGTGGGTTCGACACTGCCGGCGCCGGCGGTAGGGCCGTTGACGTTCGACACGGCCCCCAGACACTGCAGCTGCAGCAACGGCGGCTGTTCACGCGGTCGAGTGACTATCAGGACGCTGCCGTTCCATACCTGGCGCGAGCTGGCATCGGGTCCCATATGCTTGTAGTTGAGCAGCGGACCGCAGAGGACCTGCACCGCGTCCTCGGGCACGGCGAGCATCTCACGGGCACTGGCAACCTCGGTCTCAGCTATACTCCGTACGGGCGCCATCGGTTAGCTTTCGGACATTTCTTTGTCTTGTGTTGATATGTATTCTGTGGTTTGCGTACCTGGCTGGGTGTTTGTGGCTGGCGCTGGTTCCTGAGACGCGGCCACTCGAGGCGCTTCCATCTCCATGGCGGCAGCAGACGAAGCAGAAGCTGTCTATTCGAGTCGCAGGCAGTCTGTGGCCTAGGACGAGATGCGATGAAGCTGTCTCGACGCTGTGAGGAGCGTTGCGCTGCGCTGGCTGTTGCTGTCGCTGTCGCCGCAGAAGTGTCAACAAACAACGGCTGGAGTCACAAGCTGAGGCTGACCCGAAGTCAGCGGCGTCAATTCTGGCCTTTTTTTTTTTTATGTTTCGTCTCTACCTGGTCTTCTCTGCTTGATGTCGATAGCTGGCGTCTACTGTTGATTGTTGATTGTTGACTGTTGACTGTTGACTGTTGACTTGGACTGGCGAGGTTGCGGGAAGGGGAAAAGACGGGACGTTGCAGAAGTTGTTGCTGCTTGCTTTGCAGGTGGAACCGCCTATCAACTTTGCAATCTGACCAGGTTTTGCACTCTACGACGTTTGATTACTGATGCTTTTCTGGCTAGCGGCGATGCAGAAGCCGTGCATAAAAGGGACAAGGAGAGGAGGAGGAGAGAAGGAAGAAGGACTCGTTTATACGGCTGGCAAGCTATTACTCTTCTGCCTCTGGGTGCTGGGGGCTCCAACCAAAGACAGCAAACCTGGAGATCAAGAACCAGCTGGCCGTGGCGTCTGTTGTGAAGCCACAATGACGACAGGGATGAGGAAGAATCAGAAGGATGTGTCGTGGAGCTTGCTAGCTGCTGGCTGGCTGCAGATTTAACTAGCTGAGATGATGACCTTTGCTGGCCATCCAACAGGCTTAGGGGAGGGACCGACCCCTATCAAGCCACATCTGGGGGATCCACACCTCGTATCTGCGAGCCGATGCTTCCTCGGCTGGAACATGCTTTGGGATGGGACGAGGAACCGTGGTCTTATCTCGGGATTTATTGGGTTGAAGCATGGGTTTTATTAAAAAGCACCCCATATTAATTAATGGTCAGTCAGGGGTGGTCAGTCAACCCAGATCAAGATCCCCTTCGCATCGCTCTTGATGCTCTCTGTCGGTAGGATACGCAGCGTCTTGTTGAAGTAAGTGTCCACGACGACCAGCTGCGGCTGTATCCAGATGCCCCGTCGAGTCGCCAGCAGGCTGTACTGCAGCGTATGACGGCTCAGCGGGACAAGCCGTAGGGTCGTGGACTTGGGGCCACTAAAGGCGAACTGGTCACTCGTTTCCATTGTCAGGTTGAATGTCAGAAAGTGCATCGATGGGTTCTCGAGTGTGTAGTTTAGCTGGATCAGGCCGGGGACGTCGTTGCTGTGGCCGGTTTTTGAGCCGAGGGATGCCAGCACGCGAGGCTCACTCATTGGAATGGAGAAGCGAGGGACGGCCAGCGAGGTTATTACTGACTCTGTGGGAAGAGATATTTCTGGAGAGGTGGCTTCTGCTTCAAGGGCGTCTTGCTGTTCGTCTCGACGCCATTTGATCTCCAGCTCAAAACTGACCCCAGTCTGCAGCCGATCCTCCATCGTAAGCCGCTCGATGACGACGATGAAATCTGTGCTTTGGGGTTCCTCGGGGCGGATATATCTGTGCTCAGACTGCTTACTGCTGTCTGAAGCCGTAGTAATACTGCAAATTTTGCCTACTTCGATAGCCACGACCCGCAGCTTGACGTCCTCGATGATAAGTGCCTCCCGGGAAAAAGACATCAGCGTGGAGTTGAGGAGCCACCGTTGCTGTGTGTTGGAGACTTCTGACTCGTCAATATTGAAGAAGTCGGGCCAGGGGGATAGATGTAGCTGTGGTAGAAAATTGTAGTTTGCTTCGAACGGCTGGATAAACGGTAAGTCGAGCGAGATGGCTTTTGATATCGCTGCCTCGGGGTCAGATCTGAGATGGTAAAGGACGCTGATTTCCAGATCATACTGTATCGGGTGAGGTGCCTGGACCACCACAGCCGGCAGGATGGTATGCTCGCCTGCTCCTAGTTCCGCAATTGTACGCCGGATAGTCTGCGTGTCTGGCTCCTTTGCCTGGGAGGCAGACAGTTCTTCAGTTTCTTCAGAGTGTTCCCCCACGTCAGCACCATCGAGCCAGCTTATAGCTGCAGGATGCTCCGAGCGACCACTGAGCTTTAATTCCACAACAATTGACGCAGATGCATCCTCGTTGTTGTCGAGCCTGATGTTCAAGCCGGCTTTTTCACCAAAATAGTAGGCGTCCCGAAGGCCAGGCACGGATATCAGCACCTTAGGTGGCTTTGGCAGTATTTGGCAGCTAGAAGGATCTCTACCCTTGCCAATCCGCCTCGAAGTGATGTTACCTTTGCTCTCAGTCCACCATCTTGGTAGTGCGTAGGCGTCGTTGCTAGTACTACTAATAGTATAAGTAAGATCAAATTTATCGTCTGCTACCATCAGTGTGATAGATGCCACCCGAACATCGCTGGCCTCCCGTGGTATCAGAGTCAAGGTGAATGCACGCGTCTGTCCCGGGAAGAGGGATAGATTTGCATTGCCTTTGATCTCCTGTAATAACGATGATGGCCCAGTTTGGCCGTCTGCCAGTGATATTGATGTATGGGTATGGGAAGATTCAGATGCATCAGTCTCGTTGCTATCAGCGAGTATTCTGATTGGGGGTAAACCGCCTTCAAAGGTAATCTTGACCTCACTGAGGTGAATTGGGGATGACTTGCGGCTGCAGTTTGATTGAAGAACAAGCTGACCCCTGAGGGGCTCGCCTACGTTTCCACTTGAAGAATTGAATGTAAAGGACATTGAAACTGGAATCCGTTAGATACAATTGAGACCAAGTAGTAAAAATAGATTGGAGAATATTTACTGCAAGATGCAACGTCTTTGTCTGTCAAAACTATTACTGATTTTTCAGATGCCTTTTCATCAGTCGTTCCGGTTCTATATATATCGTAATTCCAATCAGGTCTATTCGTAAAATCTGCTTCGGTTAGCAACAGAGTAAGCAATAAAAGCGTCGGGGGGGCTTACTTTTGTTCATTAATTCCCAGTCTATACGGTAAATAGTTTCAAAATCGCCGCAACGCACGGCACAATCTCGCAGTAACCAGGCGCACTCCTCCATCAAATGCCACCACCCTTCTCGTCTCCAGGAGATCTGGAGCCATAGAGGTCGTAGGATGTCAAGGGCATCACTCCAAGCCTCGAGACGGACATACTCTTTCGCCATTGTGAACTTCTGTTTCTCGACCATACGAACCTGGCCCCGTTTGGCGAATTCAGCTACGGACTCTGTAAGGAATTCTAGTATTTGGTGCGAGTACTTGTCTCCCGGTCGGTCATCAATGGGATATTCGACATGTGGCTCCGGGGCCTGATACGTGTCGTAGACGTTAGACAACGCTTTGCGCTGTGATGTTGCATTATGCTGATCTGGAGGTAATCGATCTTCCTGTGGTATATTCTCAGCATGAAGCCGTCGACGAGCAGTATGTTTGGCAGCCCGAGCAAGCCAGTATCCACGGTGGTGGAGGAAGTCCCAAGGAGATACACGCTCTCCTGACAGCATCGTCTTTTCAGATAGTACAAAGATTGGTCCGCTGTTGGTGCCTACGGGTGAAGGGGGTATGTAGGAGCGGCTAATTGTATGTGCCATGATCAAGGACCAGTTTACTTCCCACGCCTCCCAGCCATAATTATTTGTCCCTTTTCCTTTGTTATGGGCAATGCTTTGTATCCGTCTCCTGTGGGCTGCCCAAAACTGAACAGCAGGTGTAGTCTGTTCCAGCCATAAGTGACACCGCAAAATCCGCAATGCGAGCACATCAGCTAACATGCGGGCCTCATCAAACCTTGGACTCCAAGCGGCAATGGCTCCAAATACTTCATCGCCAAAGAGCAGATCATACGCAGTCTCATAGCTACGGCCAGCAGCATCCATCTCCTGGCGGAACTCAGCAAGTACGCCTAGTTTAAATTCATACCGAACATTCCAGCCTTGCTGCGAGAGAGTCTGAGAGGTCCCGCTAGTAGGAGGTGCGGTGGGAGGTGGGATGGTGGCCCTGTTGCGCTTGCGGCGACTGTGTTTTGACAGATCTCTATAGTACTCTACCGCAGCGCCCTGGATCGAGAAGAGTAAAGATTTAACGAACCTCTGAATGTCGAGTGGGCTTGGACCTGGGGGGAGTGTGAAGACATTTCGAGGATCTAATCCAGTGGCCTTTCTAATGCTTGAGATGCGGTAATTGGCATCCTCCAAGACGGGTCCGTCCTCAAAGAGGAAGACGACGACAAAACGAGTCTTGTAGCCTGACTGAGCCCAGTCTCGCTTCAGGCTGTTGATCTCTATCTTGAGCTGGTTATCCTTGAGCGTGGACATGTTTGTATCTGTGGTGAGAGGGAAGAAATTGACAAATGCGGCCGGTACGAGGCACTGGTGTTTGGATATCCAGCTGGGCGTGACCATGCCATCTGGGAAGACCTCCGAGCCGGGTGTGAGGGGAGACAGCGGCGAGTGAGGTACGGGAGCCAGGCCATCGCTGTCTGGAGCATATTGCGTAGTATCTGCCTTTTTCCGGGGAAGTGTATAAGTCTGACCATGTTAGTATGCCATGCCAACTGGAGGGCCGTTACCTGAGTAGATTAGAGAAAAGATTAACACACCCTAGAAGCTCTCTGTATCCTCAATCCGACACCATTGGCCCTGTGACTGAAATACCTAGAGCTCCACGGCCAAAAAGAGGCATCTTCCGCGAGCAGGGCAGCGAGTAGTCCGTCCGCCACAGCGCCAGAAACCGGCGGGAAGTCCGAGAAGACACAGACTCCACCATCCGCGCCGTCAACTCCAGACACTATTGCCTCTCCAGCCTCCTCTCCTGCTTCGCCCGCCGCTGCCAGGCCGGATATCAGCACCAGCGGGAGGTTGTGGTCGACATAGCTCGGGGGGAACGCATCCATGATGGTGTGCTGCTGCCGTGCTGTGGCCTCCAGCCGCCCTCCGCAATTCCAATTTCCAATTTCCAATTTCAACTCCAATTCCAATCTCAACCTGAATCTCAATCTCAATCTGAGTCTCTCTGGTCTCCGGCAGTCGTTTCCGTGTTTGCTTTCCGGAGTCTAGTGCCAGGACGATGGCTGGGGGAGCTCTCTATCTGCGGCGAGTCTCTCGATCATCTCGCAGCCGATGTTCCTTGCGCGGCGGGCGGGCGACCAGCATACCCCTGACTTGAAACGCAGCTCCAGCTCTTCTCCCTCGTCACTGCTGTCTCTTCTTCTGCTTCTGCTTCTGCTGCTGCTTCTGCTTCTTCGTCTGCCTCTGCTTCGTCTTCGTCTTCTTCTGCTGCTGCTTCGCCTTTGCGTTTCTTTGACGTCAAAAAAGAAGCGCAGCGAATCTCTCACGTGATCAACACTCAGGGCCGTCAACGTCAACCTTCAACCTCAACTCCAACAAAATCTCAAAAAGGACGACAAGACGAGAAGAAGCAAAGAAAAGGCCAGGGAAAAAAAGGGACAAAAAGGACTCCGTCGTTGCTTTTTCCTGCTGGGATCCCCTTCCGCGGCCTCTGCGCCCTCGTCGGCCAACCAATTATCGCAGCCGGCGAGCCCGGAGTTCCATTTTTTTAATCTTCCTCTGCCAATACGGTTCCCCAGAAGAGCCAAACAATGACCTGAACGAACCGCGGGCTCAGTTTTTACGAGAGTTGAGAGAGAGTAAGGAACCGAGAGGGCGGCTTCGGTTTGTTCTTTGGCTTCTTCGCCCTTTTCTACCCTCCTCTGCGTCCATCGAGGTGTTGCTAACCGTCGCCTGATAGCAGTAAGCGAGCAATAATGACAGTGCGGCATGCAAGACTGTACCGAGTGAGCCACCACCAGACGCACTGTTCGACCTGAATATATGACATATATACGGATACAGCCTCCTATTTTGTTGCGAGAACTACTCCTATTTCTTCACTGTTCACCTATCTGTCGACCTGGCGCGCAATAATGGAGGCTTCTGAGAAACGGTCTTCGCGCGGCAGCAACCTCAATAATAATCATAATAACAACAACCATAATAGCCCTAATGAGATATCACAAAGACGCCAATCGATGCCTGCTGCTGGGCCAGGAAGGAGACAGTCGCCCCGGGGACACATCGCCCCAGCATCGCCAGAGGTCATCTCGTCTCTCATCTCGTCGCTGTCTACCATATCGACCCCAGCTCGCACACACTTCGAGAGTCTGCCCCGGGTAGGCGGATCGCAGACAGCTCCCCCTTCGCCCAAGACGCCTCGGAACGGCCAGTTTGATGGCTCGGATATGGATTATGGCTCGTTCAAGGCGGCGGCTGCGGCTGCGGCTGCGGAGAGCGAGGCCCCATTCTTGCATCCCTATGACGCGGCCATGTCTCCCGTTATCAGAATGTCAAAACCGCCGTCATCGGCAAGGTCTCCTCGCTCGTCAGTGTCATACCATTCTTGCCGGAACGCAGATGATTCTATCTCCCTACGGCCTCCTTCTCGCGGCTCTCATGGCTCTGCAACTACCGGCCATGAAGACTCGGGCAGTTTTGGTGTCGTTCGTCTCGAGCCCGGGTCGCGCAAATCTACCGCGAGCCTTGTATCCTCGGGCAGCCGGAGGAGTTTAAAGAACCAGCTTGGCCTCTTCCGCCGTTCGTCGCGAGATTCCACCCGGGCCAAGGAGCAACCCATTGATCGTCTCGGTGTAGAAGACGGACCGGGTCCTTCAATCGCAAACTCCCAGAATAACCGGTCTGTTTTACGGTCCGTTCGCTCCATGGCTGACCTCGCGGAAGAAGCGAACGGGTCCATCACCGAGTCCGGTGGTCAGAAGAAAAAGTCTGGAGACTTTCAGGACTCAAGGCGGGAATCGGCTCCAAACCTGAAGCAGACCCACACCCACGAGCTCCCGGCTTGCCTCACCCCTGGTGGAATTGGAAGCGGTAGAAGTATTCCTACACGAGAGTCCTCATTGCGTCACAGCTTTAACAGTCCCTCGTCGAAGAAGCGCCGCTCCGGCCGACACAGTGGATATTCTTTCAAAGATGTGGCGGTTGATAAGAAAATTACGGAAGTCAACGCAGAGGCCGACCAGGTAACCCAGCGCATCAAGGAGATTAAGGACCACCAGCAGAAGATCAAGGATCGGATGGTTGTCGATGACAGATTGCCTCCTCCGCCCCCGGATAGCACAAAGCCCAATATCGCTCGACCGTCTGCTACTTCCGCTGCCGCCTCAGCTTCTTGCCCATCAATGCAGCTCGCCAAAGTGGATGAACTCTTTCTTGACTTCGGCGACAGCGCACCCTCTCCCACCGTCAGCACTCGTAGGGCCCCCTCCGTGAGCAAACGGGGTGCGCCGCTTGCGCCAAAGACCGGAAACCTGCAAGCAACCTCTCCCACGAACCAGCGCTCAAGGCATGACGACGGCCTCACCAAGAACGCGAAAGGGTCTGATATGAAGGGTCATAGGAGGACATACTCTGACTCCCCTTCAACAGCACCCCGGCCCTCCTCAGATGCAAATGCCAGACCAAGTAGCCCAGATGTAATTGAGGAAGCTGTGACAGCATACATCACCTCGCCCAAACTTACGCAGAAGGTACCTCACCCGCAGACCGGGCGTATCATCGCCTTTTCAGAAGTCGGAGATCCCAACGGCCATGTCGTCTTTTGCTGCGTCGGTATGGGTTTGACCAGATACCTTACGGCCTTTTACGATGAGCTAGCTCGGACGCTGAAACTGCGGCTTATAACCCCTGACCGGCCTGGAGTTGGAGAGAGTCAGCCCTGTCTAGACGGTACAGGGACTCCTTTGAACTGGCCGGGTATGTATTATTGTATCCTCTATTTAACATCCCGTTTTGATGCTAACTACTTTTATTTAGATGACCTTGCGGTGATATGTAAACATCTAAAAATATCAAAGTTCTCCATGCTCGCGCACTCCGCTGGAGCCATATACGCTCTGGCCACCGCTTTGCGCATGCCCCAGCATATCCGAGGTCGCATCCACCTTCTTGCGCCTTGGATACCGCCCTCTCAAATGACCGGCATGGGATCACATAAAGACCCGTTACCGGCCACCGCACTCCCTTACTCCCAACGGCTTTTGCGTGCGCTTCCTACTCCTATCCTCAAAGTTGCAAACTCCAGGTTCATGACCGCAACCAGTGCAAGTATCACTAGCAGCCTCCCCAAAAGCTCACGCAAACCAAAACGCCGAAGCACTGTTGGCAGAGAAGCAACACCCATACCTCCTGAAGTTGGCGGAACAACCACCGCCAGTGGCCAGGGCAAGATCCCTACCTCCACGCCCCGCAAGCAACACCCTCCTCTCCCTACCCAAGAAGGGGCCGGCGCAGTAACATCTAGCGCATCAAGCGTCGCTGCCGGAGTTACTCCAGACAACGTCTCCATATCTGAACAAGAACGACGGACGGAGTATGACAACCGCCTCACACATGCAATCTGGGAACTTGCAACAAGCTGCGCCAATCCCGCCGTTGACCTGCTCATTTGCCTCGAACGTAGACGGGCCATTGGATTCAGATACGTCGACATCAACCGTGCGGTCGTCATACACCATGGTTCCCGCGACACAAGAGTTCCTGTCGACAATGTCCGGTGGCTAGGAAAGACGATGCGCCGGTGCGAAGTTAGAATTCTCGAGGGTGAGGGTCACGGGCTTATGGCGTCTGCTACAGTGATGGGCAATGTCTTGATGGAGGTTGCGAAGGAGTGGGAAGACTGGACAACTGTTGTTCAGGGCCGACGGGATGGAAGGAAACCTACTGCGCAGTAGTTTCAGCATCACACTACCATGCACCAACCTAATATCTACCAGAAGGACATAGTTATGTCTACCAGCATTCTTTACCAGCCGATACCCAGTCTGTACTCTACATGTTTTAATACCCTTTCTTTGACTCAACGAACACGCCCTAGGACCCTGACCGTTCTATACCAGAAGTACATAGCTTTGACCTTTAGATAGATACCACTATAGTTCTAATTATTAGTTCCCTCTCTCTGCGCCATGTATATAGCCCAAAAACCAACTGTTACATAGGCAGCGAATAACAGTCTTTTCATCCTATTCTATCAATGCCATCTTGATTGCTCCCTCAATTATGTCTTTAGTATCTGGTTTTCGCCCTACAAAACCTGAGACTGGTGACGTAAACTTCAGGGGGCGAGACTTGAGGTAGCTCAAACAAACTTCTTGGGTGTAACCGTCGGAAAGCTAGCTTCAACTTCAGCACCAACACCAACGCCAACGGAAAAGATACCAAGTTGACGGGAGACAGCTCATGGTCATATTAAGGGTTTCAATAATCCCATATTCAATTGATCCCGGCATCTACCCTGTCTTGAAGCGATGTTTTCTCCTCGTCGCCTCCGGCTTTACTTGATTTCCGCCGTGATACTCGTTTGTTTCATACTATATTTCACTGTAGGTCTGCTCGCTCTTCGGCTGGCTACGTGATATCCTATGTATTTTGTAGTCATACAGATGCATAAATAGCCCACCACTTTGTTCCTGGAGTGTAAAATTGTTCTAACTCTTTGCTTAACAGGGAGATGTCCGGCGCACGCAGGCGTTAAGAGCTGCCGGTACATCGCAACCGGGGAAATCAAATCCCAATTTGAAGGGCTCATCAGGGAGTTATGGAAATGATAAAGACAACGATGGCGGCGTCTTTGATAAATTGAAGCCTGGTTCTCTGCGGTCCGGAGACAAGCAGAAGCCAGTCAAGGTAGAAGAACCAGAGCAGACGCCGACTTCAGCCAAGAAAGAGAAAGGGAAAGGGAAAGACGAAGAAGAAGCTACAGATGATGCGAAGAGCGAAGACGACATTGTCAACGAAGAGATGAATACCATCTTAAAGAGATCCCCAAGTAAGCATGATAGCTAAAACACGTGTCTGTACGAGAAAAATGGCTAACGATACTAGTTATAATATTCTCCAAGTCATATTGCCCTTACAGTAAGAAGGCAAAGTATTTCATGCTGGAGAAGTATAATATCACTCCCGCTCCCTTCGTGGTTGAGCTGGATGAGCATCCGCTAGGCAGGCAGCTGCAGGATCTGCTAGGGACCAACACTGGCCGCAGGACAGTGCCCAACATCCTTGTCAACGGCAAGACTATAGGCGGCGGAGACGACATCGAAGCCTTGTACCTGTCTGGTGAGCTGGGGACGAAGCTGCAGGCTCTGGGCGGGAAGAGAGTGACAGCGGTTCCTCACAATGCAGACCCAGACCCATAGCAATTGGTCTAAAACAACCGATTTCCCGTCCCCTATGCATCCCAGGTGGCTGTATACCTTTGGCGTCTCTCTTTTCTTGCTCTTCTTCCATTGTATAATAGGTCGGCATCAATCGATATCAATCAATATCAATCAATATCAACTTCGTCGCCTTCTTCTCATTCCCAAAAGGGAAACACATCACGTGAAAATCTCTGCTTAGTAACAGTTTGTTAGTAATCACAAACTAACCGAAATAAGCACTTAAGCGAACACACAACTTCTGGCTTACATAATAATTTAGCGACCGCAAAACTTCCAAAGCGAAACTTCGAAAAGTCAACGAAGCGAAAAAGAACGACGAAGCGCATCAACGTCGACAAACCACCTTCAACTCTCCCGTTTCGCCCTCGGTCAGCTTCTTCACAGGCGGAGTCAAGATGCTCTACATACACTCCCAGGAGACTCTGCAGATCCCAGAGAATGGTGAGCACCCCCGAGCAGCGCTATCGCATATTACAGTGGAGGATGGATGGATGGAGAGGGATGGACTGTGGCTGTTGGCTGTTTAGCGACGCTGGCACGACTAGATGGCATGAAGATGCGGGGAAATGATTAGGATATGTGACTGTGAACTTGTTGCTGACTGGGCGTACTTGATATAGTGAACCTTCACATTCGATCCCGTATCGTTACGGTTGAGGGACCACGAGGTACGATCACTCCGCACGCAGAAACACATACACACGCAGACTTTTTGAATTGAGGATCTGGGGTCGAATGCATTAGCATGCACTTACACTGGTTTCAATGATGCAGGAAAGTTGGTCAAGGACCTCTCCCACCTTTCGGTCTGCTTCAGCCGCCCAAAGAAGGACACCATTGCCATCGAGGTTCACCATGGAGGACGTAAGGCCGTTGCTACTCTCCGCACTGTCCGGACCATCATCAACAACTTGATCATCGGCGTCACCCGCGGGTTCAAGTACAAGATGCGCTACGTCTACGCCCATTTCCCCATCAACGTCAACATTGAGACCAACAAGGAGACCGGTGCCGTCGAGCTCGAGATCCGGTATGTGACTGAGACAACCCCCCGGATACAATAAAAAGTTGATAGAATCATTGCTGGAGCAAGATGGAATGCTAATGGATTACTATTTGTAGTAACTTCTTGGGTGAGAAGGTTGTCCGTCGCGTTGTCTGCCAGAAGGGTGTCGAGGTTGTCGCTTCCTCCAACGTCAAGGATGAGATTGTTCTCTCCGGAAACTCCGTCGAGAGTGTATCACAGAGTGCTGCCGATATACAACAGATTTGCCGTGTCAGAAATAAGGATATCCGAAAGGTGAGCCTTAAAACTCCTGCCACCTGACTTATTTGTGCTAACATGTGAACTAGTTCCTTGACGGAATATACGTCTCGGAGAAGGGAAACATTGTCGAAGAAGAGTAAAGGATCTGCTGAAATATAACATTTCCTGCTCTGTTGAAATTGGGGGGAGCGTCAAAACCGTTGATAGCATGTTACTCTGCCAAACGATAATGAAAACTTTCTACCTACCGCCTTACCTTGCACCATCTCCGCCATAAAAGGGTCACATTGCCTTTGTTTCTGCTCTGTAGGCATTCGGCTCCATCTATCTGACGGCTTGGTTTTCTGGAGTCGGCGCGCTCTGGGTTCAGGCTGGAGTATGACCGGCCAGCCTGTATGTACTCATAAATGAAAACCATTACATTGACATCTAAGAAACTTTCCATGGCCACTTGCCGTCCTATTCTACGAATGTTAGTATTCCATCTAGAACTATATGCTATATGGGCATACACAGGGTAATCTAGATCTAGCTCCACCATGTTGCATTGCAGCATTGGTCACCGCAACATTCATAGAGCATACAACCACCCCACCCACCTTATCATACCTATCCAACAACGCCCTTGCATTCATCCCCTTTTATACATTCAACCCCAATGGTCATCTTAACTTCTCTTTCGCACCGCACAAGAGCCTCTTGGCCCGTGCACAATTTACACGTGATTTATTTGTGATTATATAATATTATCTTACTCATCATGCAATTACATAAGCGAATAGCATCATCGACGAAGCGAAGAAAAGCGAAAGCAAAAAGACATAAAAACGACATGGAGAGAAGAAGCTGATCGTTTGTTTATTCGCCGCTTGGAAGCTGATAGTGGCTGCGCCATACCGCTAGAAGGCGATACTGAGTCATGCTTGACTCCTCGATACTCTGACATTCGACTCTTCCTTCACCTCTTGCCTTTCGACCCCCCGACGTTTTATGCGCCCTGAGGCAGCCCTGGCCAAACTCACATTGCACTCTAGTATTGAACCAACTATTACTCTTCCTTTCATGTTTGCATTGGAAAGAATAATTTTGAATATCTGCGCCTTTTACCCTTTAAAACTTCGAACAATGACTTCTCAGGCAGCCCTGATCGACGAGACCATCGTCGGGTTGAAGAGAGCCCTTTTGCGGCACGCCTCAGGTATTACCACCTTATGTACAGGTCTACTGGGAAGGAACATATACTGACATCGTGAGCGGAATAGATGCTGCCTATGACGATGCTATCAATCTACCCTCCAACCGCGGAAACAAGACTAGGCTGAATGCCGAATTCGTCCGAGAGGGTGCTCTAGGCTACATGAACCATGAACAATTCTATAGAAAAGTGAGCTGGCTTATATTTACATATTATGGTGGTTGTGATTCTCACCTGTTTATAGAAAGCGGAACACTCGGGGTATACACGGGATATATTAGAGAGCAACCCGCCACGATTCGACGCGGAAGGAGACGAGCTTGATTTCGACGACTCTGATGCCGCGGCGGATGCCGAAGCAGCAGATGATAACCCGTTTTCGTCAACTCACTTGGATGGTAGTTTCCCCGCTTATAATGATGGTATTTTTGTGACTAACTTGTATTCTGCGCATATAGACCTTCTTGCTCCGTTGACACATCCTTCCGAACTCGCGAATCATTCCATGGCCAATGCTTATACGAATAAAGCTATCACTACCATGATCGAGCGGATCAACCGCCGACTCCGATTAGAACGGCATGCACTCTGGCAAGCAAAGAATGTTTATAGACAGCTCGTCGCGGATTCAATATGGATGCCTTGCGGTGCTGTAGAGCGAGACGACGATGCTGAACTTTTCGGAGCATCAAATCCACAGTCTATAGCTCAGGAACCATCCGTTTCTAATTCAACGGTCACGGCCTCTTCAGACCGTATGAATGTCGATCAACAGAATGACAACAATGGAGATAGCTCGGCAGGAAACGACAGAAATAATGATGACTCAAGAGCAGAAAGACCAGATGAAACCACAGATAACACTCGCGATCCCGACGGAGACATAGTGATGGAATCCGCAGACATAGACGATGGAGAGGACAAAGGCGGGAGAGGAGGTGGTGACGAGTCAGAGGGCGATCAAGCTGAAGGATCACCAAAGGATAAGGATAAGGAATTGACAGATGACGGTTTTCTCCATCCACGCCGAATGACAACTAGAGCACAAGTAAGTGCGAACCAAAATACCGTTTCACAGGAGAAGCAAGACGAGAAGGAACACGAAATCTTATCTCTCGAAGTTCATCCCATCTTTCGACTGCCTCGACTACCGCCGGAGGAGCGGAACTGCGGCTTAACCCAAAGTGAAGCTGATGAAACACGCCGTATGCTATGGGCTTATATACAGAAGCAAGGAGAGAGTGTGCGGCTGTTCACTGAGATGCTCAAGATGCTCCGCAAGTCGCACCGAATGAAAGAAGAGGTGTGGGAGTGGTGCAAAGCGGAAGCACACATTGGAGAGCTGAGCGATGGAGAAGACTGGTATGATAAGGAGCGATGGGGGTTGGGTGAGGGTGAGGACCTGAGAAAAGGGGCCGATGAAGAGGAGACGGAGGGATTGGATGAAGGGAGACCGACTGGTAAACGGGGGAGAGGACGAAGAGCTTGAGAAGTTTATTACAAGTTATCTAGCCATCTGGAATGCGCTATATCATGTGTTTTTATTTCAATGCAATAGCAGAGAATGTGTAGAATAAAGGCTGTTATGATGAATAACAGTGTATAGTAGATAAATAATCTAGTAGGTAAATATTCGAGACCAGGGTTTAGAGTCAGTCTATATATCGAGAGTACCTTAACGAGAGTGGTCGAATAGCGGGTGTATGTATCACCTTGGAGAGACGGGGTTAAGGTAAAGTACGAGTACAATTACAACGACAATACCACCGGCTGTCCCAGTTAGGAGCCCACGCAGGTTTGCCATGGAGAGAGTGTGTGTGGTTGAACTTTGTCTATCAGCCCTCAAGTTATCCATTGGAGGATATATTTTGAAATGGACATGGTAGAGTAGGAACAGAAGGATTCTAAGCAGCCTTCCCGGCCTTCTTTGCAGCGGACCTCTCCCTATCACGCTTGCTATAGATCTCTTCTGTGAATGGTCTGCAGTGGCGGTGGTTAGCATATAAGACGAGAAGGAAAAGGATACAGAGATACATGAAGAGCAGTTTTGAAACGTACTCTTCCCATAGACAGGCAATCTTGTAGCAGATGAAGACCTCAGCAGTGAGTAGGAGACCAGCAGGCTTTCCATGGTACAAGGCCACAGCCAGGAAACTCATGGTGCTGCCCCAGTACATAGGAGCACTGGTGATATTGAACGGAAAGCCCGTCACGGGAGCATCCATAAGGATTCCAAAGTAGTCTCCGAGGTAAGTTCCTGTGATCCCGAGTGCCCACATACTAGATAGAACGAGTACATTTCCCGTAGCGAAAAGGCCGTAGGCCAGGTACTGCTGGTGGACAGGTGCAAAGTAGGGCTGGTTCTTGAGAGCGTCGTTGTACAGATGGTCGCGGATTATGCCTAGCGAGAAGATGGTAACAGCCAGGAAGTAGCACCCATTGTACTTGTTACCACTAAACAGCTTGGTCAAGAAGTGGTTGTTGTATTCTAAATGTCCAGCATGAGAGAGAATGTCAGGATGGTTGCTTCAGTATAGATGCCCCAGAGTGGAGAGGGGCAGAGCGGGGAGGGTCGGGGAAGTATCGGACCTTGACGGGCAACAATGCTATCAAAGTCAGCACAAAGAGACACATACAAGAGGGCCAGGGGAGATACGTACTTCCAGAAGAGCGGGTTGAATGCAATTGTAACGGCCGACACTGGTTACGGATACTCTGTTAAGCTGTATGTACACACGAGCTAGGAGTACGACGGAACAACTTACAGACCAGGCTCGGCTGCGAGAGGTCGATGTATTGTGATAGGGACATGATTGGCGTCTAAGCGAGGGGAATATGCAATTGACAGCTTTTCAATTCGGCTTAAGTGCGCGTCCGGAAGATGCTTTGACTTCTTGGTGAACTTCGAGTTGTTGAAGTTTTTATCGTAAACAAGAAATGGAAGAAGAAAAGAAGCCGAAGAACCCCACGCTTAGTAAATGATGAGTAATAAGGATGATTAACAGATTAATAATAGCAGCTCTTGGCATATTTTTGCTTTTAATAGACCTAACCCTAACCTTAACCCTAATCCACCAGCGCAGTGACCATCAAGACGAACCCGAGGGGAGTTTCAAGATTCATCTCGAAGGTCTGGTTAGTTCGCTCTGATTGTCCGCCTGTATCGCATCATACTTCACACAGCAGTATTTAACGCCAGAAGATTTGAAGTTGATTTTCTTGTGGGGATGACGAGCTTTGGTGTTTTCGCATCTAGCGGGATCGCGATATTGAAGTCTCGGGAATTGAGCATGACATATTGCTGTATTGTGTCTTGCTCATAGAGAAGGCATTTATGCCTCTAGTCCCAGAGCAGTTGAAATACACGAACAGTGCATTTCGCACGATTACCCTCCTCACCCATCAAAGTATTCCTCCCTTGACTGTATTATTGTAGCACAGTAGGTCATATTTATCAGTACTTTTCTATGCTGAATAAAGAGGAAAGGAAAAAGGGAGTAATATCGGCGCATCAACGAGTTCGTATACATATCGTGCTTAGCGGAGAGTGACTGTAGTATAACTGTGCTTGATAACTCCAACAGTTCCAGGTCAAACTAGTGGGGTAGATGTGCATATGGAGGATCTTGAAAACGGAACTATAAACAATGTATATATTAATGTTGGCATACAAATCCGAGCGATCAAAAGATTTTCAACGACAACGTAAAAATTTCAGACAATACCAAAACTTCTGCAACAATCATCCTTTAGTAGCCACCTACTATGTCTGTCAGGAGCGCTGATGTCAAACGCATTATCACATTCTGGTTCAACCGCCCACCCATTGAATGGATAACCGCCCCAAGAGGCATCGACGACCAGATAAGGTCCGAATTTGATGACCTCGTCCTCAAAGCCCGTCAGAATAAGCTCGATGACTGGGAAATGGAACCCGAAGCCTGT